CGATCCCACCTTGTGGGATCGATTCCAACTTCAAATCGCGGTCACGGAATCCGTTTTGGCTCTGACTCCAGGCAGAACGGCGCTTATTTGAGTCGGTTAGGATTCCAGATCAAGGTCATGCCGCCTGACTCCCACTGAGTTGACTGGGTGGCGCGAATTGACGAGATAAACCGTTGCATGAGCTATGTAACAGCACGGCGCACATCTGGTCATTAAGTGAACGATGCATAGTGTGCATATTTAGTACTAACTGAGCGATGCTTAGTGTTCTGCGTTTGCCGTATATTAAGCATTTTGAGACTGGCTATATCGTTTGTACCGACATTAATGCTTCTATCCGCTTGTCTTCGTTTCAAACTATAAAGCTGAAGTGTAGCTTTGATTCCGTTTCACAAACTTTACAGGAATGCGTTTCACCTTGACTTATCAAAAAGTTGGTTGATTTCGTAGTCGACTGCGAATCCTCTCGGCGTCTGGCGCAAGGACGCACCAAGTCATCCATGGATATCCAAGATATCCAGCGATTCAGTGAATACTAGGTCACGGACACGGTAGGTCACGGACGTACGTTCAGTGCGAAGGCCATGGACAGCCGTGTGTGCGGCCGGCCCAGCGGCTCCAGTCGGTCCTGTGGGCTGGTGGTGCCCAGCAGCTGGGTAGGGAGGTGCGCAATGTGGCTTCGTGAGCAGATGGGCACGGCGGCGCGCTGGTTGGACGGGTGCGGCCGGTGTCACGTGTTATGTCAGTGATCCGTGACTGTGGCGCGAGTGTGATTACGTGACTGGGCCTGACACAGGCGCTCGTGCAGCATCCTCGGCAGAGATTCGCGGTGAAGATCTGTTCTCAGCGAACATTCATGCGTAAAACAAATAACCTTTGTAATAAGCCCCATGTCGTAAGTAGCGAATGCCTCGTATATCCGCGAACATGAACGACCAGCTCCACGCGAAGAGCTTCGCGGTTGAAACTTGGATTCATCCGCGTAGCCTGAAGCCCTTTTCACGACCCGAGTCCTGGCACAAGTCGTTGTAACGAATCGAGGCGCTCCATTCTCGCATTTTGGAAAATCCCGACCGAGTTTTGTGGCACCGGCCCGGCCGAAGCGTGAGCGCTGCCGCCGCCGGTGCGAAAACTACGGCAATCCGTGCCGCGCCTGCACACGCTGCCCGCCCGCCGAGGGGGGGGGGGGAGGGGGAGGGACTCAGGCAGCGGCGAATGGCGACGTAGCAGCGTGCACAGTGTGCCGCCAGGGGTCGGAGGCGGAGAGTCATGACTGCCGTTGAGTGTGGCGAGTGTAGCGGTGCACAACTGGTAGGTTGGGGCGGGCGGGGCTCGCGAGCGGGCGCCGACGACGCGGAAGGATTGCTCTCAGGCAGAGGTCGCAGCTCATGATCAGAGATCAGCTGCTAGTGATCTGGAGTCGCATGTACCTGTGGGTCAGCATTGAACGCGGAAGGCACGAACCTGCTTAATCTGCATTTGGATGGAGCTTGGTGAAAGCTGCCGGTGAGACGTTCAACTGCTTCACCGGGCGGTGGAGCGTTGTGACAGTGGTGACGCTCGTGCATAGCTGGCGACGCCGACGTACACAGGTTCGTGCACCGAGCACCACCTCGGATCCATGGACGTGGACGATGCATTCCGCGTGTTGGACAGCAGCGGGCGGCAGCAATGGAAGCACATGCTAGCCACAATGTCTCAACCACTACCGGGAGCCTTCATCATCCTGCTGATGGAGTTTATTGGTGAGTCCGGTTAAAAAGACGAGACCAAATTCACATTCAGGGGGTCTGTTCCATATCTACATCTGATTTTTAGCTGAAATAGCACTCTTCATGATCAGCACCTGTAGGTCACAGCCATGCTACTTTAAGGCTTTCAGCCATGCTCTTGCTGAGATTGATGTGCGTGAACTTGTGCAGCCAAAGTATTTTTATAATTTAAAAGATTCTGTCACGTGCCCACTATAGGAAAACGACCCAAACATACCCGGCGTCATAGAAACGTCACGCAAGCACCCCACCTCTCTGGTGCTTTTGCGCTCGTAGTTCTGAGAGGCATGGCCACTTAGGTGTTCGTATATAAAAGGATGCAGCAGTAAGGGTACCCTCGGAAGAAGGTACTTGGTTAAAGGAAATGCTTCACGTTTAAGATATTGAAGCAAGCATCAGGTATGATGAAACAAGCTCACTTATAACTACTGGCATCCTTTTAAGCAGAAGAGACTGCTCAAGACAGCACCATTTCTCCGTTTAATAAATACGCTCCATGACACGTCGTTGTTTGATTGTGTCATCGTGCCTTGTACAACATCGATTGGGAGCCAATCGCGGGCGGCTAGAATAGAACGACTCCGCCATTATGTTTTTTTCTCTGCCTTGATTGCCGCATGGCCTATGGAATGACAGGATTTGAATGACGTCAATATGACGTCATGAATGCTAGTTACCTAAAAATACTCTCCCCGAATGCTCTTCCCATTTTCGCGGACGTGTGGCTAGCCGTGAACTACACCGAAAAGATGGCTGCTGTCAAGATGGCTGCTCAAGCCCAAAACCCCATACAAATGTGGAGCATTCCATTTAAGACTGGTAACGCACTGGACGAGGGAGCCGTTGGAAGAAAGAGTTACAAGCTCGAGCCGATAACAAGCTCGAGATCGTGGCAAGATCGTGCTTTCATACGAAATTATTTCAACACGGATGACCGCGTGATGGAGCCGCGCGCGCGCTGCGTGTACTGCCATGCTACCTGATTCATTGGCGGCGTGCAACTGTTTCACTAGAAGACCAGCTGGTCCAATGGGCGGGTTTGCGCAGAGAGCGCCCTCACGGTGGCCGCGAACTTAGCCCGCTCACATAGAATTGATGCAATTGTTGAAGAGGTTAGGCTGACGGCGTAGCTCTCGGGTAGTAATTGCTTTTGTTGAATATTCGACTAAATGCTTTGATGTCGCTTGACACGAGTTTGATGTCTGCATTGTTCTTGACGTTTGCTCAAAATGACGTCAGAGAGCGGTGCAAGCGGCGCTGCCGTGATGCAGGTTCTCCAGGCGTAAACAATTGGCAGCAGCATCGGCTATTCGGACTGTCCGTGGCAGGCTTCCAAACTGGACCTCCTGTCAGATAGCCGTATAAACACGAAGGTGTCCGAAAAACCGCAGACTGCAGCAGGGCCAGGGGATTAACTGATGTGATGCAAACTCCCTTCTCCGTGTCGCAGGTTACACGCCGAACTTTGAGTGCCACCGACAGGGGCCGAATGGGACAGATATACTCGTGAACGCCTGCTTCAACGACACAACAGCATTCTGCGACGACATCGTGTTCCGTTCCGAGTACACCAGCGTGGCGACTGAGGTCAGTGACAGAGTGCTGGTGACGTAGGACACCTGACCTTCGACATGAAGGCACAGGTGCGGCCTGTTGGCGGCGGCATGCACTAGAGTTCAATTAAACTCAAAAGCACGGCATGCATTGTGCGGGGGCTTGCATGTGAGTATCGTTTTGCTATGTGCACACAGCTGCTTCTGTTCCGGTAGCTAAGTTGATTGGGGCGTCTACATTGCGATCTTACTGCCCGCGCGGGGTGAGTTCGAATTGTTGTAGACGCTCTATGTTTGCGCTCAACTGAGATGGCCCGCGAACTCGAACAACGGCACTGGTGACGTCATCCTTGCCGAGCATTGTAGTACCTTTAGGTTTGGCCGATAGTTTCTGCCGGTGCCCTGAAATTTAAAGATGGGGTGGTAGGATCAAGGCTTACGAGCATTGCATAGCCTAGCCGTTGCTTCTTGAGATCCATCCAGTAAAACAGAAATCCGAGAGAATCTTTAGAAACTTAAGCTTTGCAATTACTTTTTTATCGGTCGGCTTACAACTAACGTTGTTTGCAACATTTGTTTCATCCAAATGATGAAAACCGCTCCAAGCACGCTTGTGTTTGATTTCTAAAAAGGCTTTTCGGTTAATGAGTAAGCGGTCCAGGGGCACTGCAGGACTTTGAGCTTACTTTCGCTGAAAGTTGTCTGGACAGTTGATCTGAAATGGATGTCCCTGGCACTCACTTTACGTAGAACATCAGGGCACTGACGTGACCATCTTTATCATTGCGGTAGTGATATCTGGCCTGACCCCACTTCCCCAAACGGAGTATTTGACCCAACATAGTGTGGCCTGTGTCTGGGGGCGTCTGTGGGATCTGTGTGTGTGGTGGTGTCTGTAGTGTCTATGGCGTCTTTGATGTGGTTTGGTATCCGGCCCGACGAACAATCGCTCCTTTACACTTTGACATTCACCGCATTCGAAATAAATGGTGTCATTTTAGCTCAGTAATCGCATTACACTGCAGTAATTCCTACAGCGATATCTGACCACATCTTTTCTCCTAACAGCGCATCCTGTTTCATTTCTCATTCCTGTAAAGGTGCATGGTTCACAACGCTCAAAAGAGACTCCATGCCACATCTCCGATCCTTGCAACGATACTTGTCTCCACCCGCAAGTCCTGCAGTAGCACCTCGACATGCGGTACAGTTAAGCGGACAAGCTTCGAACACCGCGCCCACCGCCTACAAGCGTGATCCTCAAGAACTTCCTTTTCACCGCCTTCGGTCGATTTACCTTTTCCCCCGCTCCCAATCCCCCCTTGGGCTGGTGAGAGCTAAGCCCGACCGGACCGGTGGTGGTCGCTGGTCTGTCCCTTCCCCCTTGGATCAGCCCGTGAGAACTGACCCCGACCGGAGGTGGTCAATGGTGTTCCCCCTCCCTGGATCGGTCAGTGAGAGCTGACCCCCCCCCCCCCCCCCCTACTCATGCAGTGGTCACTGGTCTGCGAGCGGACAACGGACGTACACCTGCTGCAGTCGCTCTTCATGGCTGGCATGACGATTGGCGCTCCCCTGGTCAGCCCCCTCGCGGACATGTTCGGCCGGACGCCGGGTCGTGCTGCTCACATTCGGCCTGCAGGCCCTGCTGGTGGCCGCCTTGGTCTTCGTCCCCAACTACGCCACGTTCGCCGTGCTGAGGTGCGACGACCCGCACTGGACTATTCCAGGTGGTGGTGTGGGAAGCAGAAGCAGGAGGGGAGGGGGGGAGGGAAGGGGAGATGAGTGGAGCGGATGGGAGGGGAGAGGAGAGGAGAGGAGAGGAGAGGAGAGGAGAGGAGAGGAGAGGAGAGGCGAGGAGAGAGAGGAGAGGAGAGGAGAGGAGAGGAGAGGAGAGGAGAGGAGAGGAGAGGAGAGGAGAGGAGAGGGAGAGGGAAGGGGATGAGTCATACGCAAGCCAATATGACGCCGCGCATGGCCCCTCGGACCTCAGCGACAGGGTTCTCAGCCCTATGGAGATGTGCGTGTCCTGCTCCCCTGACTCGCGTAACCCCTCGCTTCCCCACTCTCTGACCTCTGAGGATGCCTGGTGCCGACCCCTGACGCGTTCGATCCCTTGCCAGGTTCCTGGCCGGCGTCCTGCAGGTGGGCTGCCTGCCGTGCTTCACCTTGTCCTCGGAGCTGGTGGGGCCGCAATACCGGAGTCGCGTTGGCCTCTTTGGCTCCACCTTCTTCTCCATCGGTATCCAGATACTGGCACTCGGCGCATACGTCACCACCACGTGGCGCCTCCTGGTGATCGCCTCAGCTGCCTTGGCCGGCCTCTCCGTGTTCGTGATATGGCTGTGAGTCGGGATGGAGTACGGTGGAGGAGCCCGCGATCATGTGGCTCGTGTGGAACTCCACAATGATTTACAGCAATGAACCGGGTGACCCTACAAAACACCTGTTCAAGATGAAATTATTTGGAAAGTAAGCTCGCAATATTGATTTTCGTATTTTGGGCTTGAGAAACAAATGTAGATGTCCCACAGACATATGGAGGCAAACATGATATACGGTGAAATATGCTCACTCGTAGCAATTGATCTGCTCTTGAAGGGAATGCTTCACATTTCAATAGTTCTAAACAAGCAACCTGTAACCCTAAGCAACCCTGAAACTCCCTGGCCATGAATGCCAAGGTGACCGTTCAAAACAGTCCCCAATATTTTCCCATTTTTGCGGGCGTGTAGCTCAGAAACTGAGGAAGAATAGATCTGAAGAAGGGCGGAATCGTTAGCAGTACCAAAAGCTCTTAAAGATGGTCATTTCAGTTCGAAAACACACATGAACGCGGAAAACTCACTTTTAAGTGTAAAAGACTGCTCTGGTTAGCAAAATTTCACCATGTAGTAAATATCCTTCTCCACACGTCGTCGTTTGACTGCGGCATGGGCCGTTCATATAGCGTAACCATGGCTGCCGAAGCGGCCGTGCAAAGCTGCCACTATAGCGGACGAACGGATTTTGTTGTAGTACTCCGACTTACCGAGAGGTGTCGTGCTATCGGTGGGTGTTCGCAGAGCCCATATATCGTCAAATGCGCGTATGTTGACTATCTCTCGTTCAGTGCTGCCATATTTCCTAAGACCTAATGCTGTTTACTTGTATTCGCGTACTCGGTTATGGCGATATGCTTTAAGGGGCTACTCCACATTTGTATGGGGTGGGATAGCCATTTCGAAGATCATTCACTGCATTTCACAGTCCAACCCTTTCTTAGACTAAGCACGCTGTTTTCTAGCCTTGATATACACGAAGTTGTGCAGGCTTTCTTGTGCAGATTATGGTAAGGTCACCCAGGCATGCATGACGCCATAGAAACGTCACGTGAACACTGCGACCTCATTGATCATGCAGTTATTAAAGCCGATTCAAGTATTTCATTAAATGATTCGTGTTTGGCGTATGTCAGCGTGATTTCCGGCATCAACGGACTTTAGGTGATCATCAACGTGCAGTGCGTTCAATCCAACTTTCGAACGGGAACCAGCTTCTGTGCTATATACTACAGAAATTTCTACAGGAATTATATCATACAGCAATTTGGGCATTGGCGCAAGTTATGGCGGAAATAAGACTGGGATTCGAATAACTTGAGAAAAGCGCAATAGCTGAGCGTGAAAAAGGAAGCAAATAATATCAGGGATTAATGAGTGATCTTCAAAATAGCTATCTCAGTTCAAAATACCATACCAATGTGGAACACTCCCCTTGAGATAAACATAGATTGCGCGCATGTCAATATGCACGATGTGAGTGTACAAAAAGAGTGATATAAACCGTCACGATGCAATGTATTTTTTCTGATATCGAGGATGGGTCAACAAGCTCCAGGAATAGAGTAGAGGTTGACAGTGTGGTGAATGCTTCTTATCACAAGGCGGAAGCCTGTGCTTCTAGTCACAAACTAACGTTTTATTTTCCCTGGTGCTAAAGCAGGCTCAAATGTAGCGTCTCAATTGTAATGGTCTGTCGGCTATGGATGGCTCGTCTAAGGTTGTTTGGAGGGCGGTCGTAAAATTTCTCAATGAAGGCCAAAATGTGGAGAAAATTCCGCCATGTTTGCTCAGTGCGTCTGCGGTAACTGCCCGCTTCCCATTCATCCACGGTGGCTAAGTGGTCCGCCGATTTTGCACGTGTACTTTGCCCACTTTGAGATGACCCCCGGGCAGGAAAACAGCCTGAGGCAACATCGCCCCAACTAGTCGAAACTGTGGAAGCGTTGATCTTGAAAGATAGATGGATCAAGATAAAATATATTGCAACTGATTTTCACACATCATTTTAGTGCTGTTGAAACCATCATCCATGTTCATGGGCAAGTTGTCTACTGGATCCAGGCCGCGAAACCTCATCCTACAAGATCGGCATTGACGAACTGCATTAAGTGAGGAGCTTTCCGCTGTCTCCAAAACTGACCCTGCGTGCTTGTTTTAACTTAAGGTGACAGGACATAAGACAAAGCCTCACCACTTGGACCCCGAGTTAAATCGCGAGAGCATGCGTCGGAAGCACAAGGGATATTCCACTTCGAAGACTTTCGCAGTCAGGCCTCCACGAGCAAAGTGGTGGCGACCTTTCCGGATCTGTTTTGGTATCATCGTGATCGACTACACGCCAAAGAAACTAACAGTTACCGGAGACTGCGCCGGCCTAATGATGCAGCTGGGGAAGGCATGTAAAAGAATAGGGGATGAGAGCTGGCAAAGAGTGTCCTGCTTCTTCACGACGGTGTGTGTGTTCAAAAGACCGGGCTCGTGCGGATTGCTATTAGGAACCGCGGCTCTATTGAGCTCCAGCACACGGCATGTAGTTCGGGTTCGATCCCAAGTGATTTCCACCTTTTCTCGGTTCCGAGTTCGTGTCCCCGGTGAAGGAGGCACGCTGGTAATGGGACCGTGTGCGCCGATGCTGGGGGGTGGGTGGAGAAACAGCCAAGGAAGTTTTCTCCCGCGGAATCGACAACATTGAGAAGTAATGGGAGAAGAGCATTGCTCTTAAGGCAGAGTACATTTTGAAATCAAACATTTTTATCCTATGTGCGAGGTTTTTCGTATGTTTTATTGTTCAAACAATTTGATTAAGTCATGTGCTCCTCCATATTTGTTAGGAGCATTTGCATGATTCCGTGATGAATGCGTCACTGACAGCAGGCGCAACACTCGCCTCTGTCCTCACCACCATCTAGACTCTGCAGCCAGAGGCCAGCTGCCGCTGTCCTCAGTGGTCCATGTTACAGCCTCCGCTTCGTGTCCGCCAGCACCCTCTGGCGTCACCGGCTCCCGCTCCCACCGCCATCTCCCATTTGGTGATTGGTTCCGCCTCTGCCGCCAGCATGGTGCCCGCCATCACCCTCTGGCGTCATCGGCTCCCACCCCGGCTGCCACCCCCCATTTGCTGACTGGTCCCGCCTCTGCCGTCAGCTTTGTGCCTGCCAGTCCGCGATGGCTTATGCTCAATGGTCGAACCGAGGAAGCGCACAAAGTCATGCTGGGCGTGGCGCGTGCCAACGGAGTGACCCCTCCGGCCAACTTTACCCTGGTGGCCGCGAGGGAGAAGACCGTTGGCTTTCCCGACAACTGCTGCTCGCTGTTCCGACACTGGCGCTCCGCTCTCTGGACAGTGGTGCTCTGCCTCACCTGGTACGCTACGACGGTGGCCATGACGCTGCCGGCGGCGGCGTCCATGCCAGAGGCATGAACCAGCAAGGATTTAGATTAGTGGCGAGTAGGAAATGTGACGTTCGTCGCAGCGTAACTTGCGATTTGCTTTGATGCAACCATAGCTATATATATATATATATATATATATATATATATATATATATATATATATATATATATATGTATTGTGTATATATATATATGTAATATATATATATATATATATATATATATATATATATATATATATAATCGAGTGGAATTGTTCGTTAAGTATGACTATGTGGGCTTTGCACCCATTTGTCACGGGATGGGATGAGATACGCACCCGTTAGATGCAGGGTTACGTTGATCTGTGCAGCATGAATGATGACGTCACAAGTGGGCAAAGGGTGCAGGAATTATGAAACTTTCCATTTGTCCTCGCTCTCCCGTTCTCGCAGCAATGCAATCACAGCATGTAACAGGACGCCAAACAAAAGATACCTTCGCCAACGCCGAGCAACATCATGTGAGGGCGGTGGTTTTAGCGCCAGGGCTGTGTTGTTTAATATCGGCACCGTGCTTGGTCCGGCCAGTGACCTGCTGTTACCGCACAGTACTCAGTTATGCTACTCACGTACTGCTACACCATACTATCGAAAACTACACGGTAGTCATGTACTTTGATGGAGCCTCGCACGTTGTGAATGCCGCCAGTGCTTTAATATCCCGTGCACCTGCTGTGACCCAGGGCGGTACACACGCTGACCTACTACGGCCTGACGGCAGCGGCGGCCACCATGGGTCAAAACCGATTCATCTCGTTCGCCCTCTCGGGCCTGGTGGAGATTCCGCCCAACATCGTCATCTCCTGGCTGTTGGATAAGTGAGTACTGGGCAACATCGATGTTTCGCCCTTGCACAGGGGCTTTGGACCTAGGTTCTTTCCAGCCGTTCTGCGCGCAGGGCTAAGCAGTGTGCACAATTTCCAGGTTCTGTTGTGGTTTTTACGAATTTTTAAAATCAAGGTTTCGTGTCATTTCACCGTTTTTGCATGTGATGCCTGGTGCATTGTTGCCGTGCTACAGAATTGAAAATAGTAGCGTGGATCGAGTTACCGTTTTTTTATATGCCGATAGTCATAGCTGCTATTTACTGGAACGTCACGTCCACGTACCATTGCAAGAGCAGATTGAGAACGTGCCACCGTTTGCCTCGACTGGTATACACACATCCGTACCCGGTAGCCAAACTAGCTGCCCAATGAAGTTTCCATTCCCTATCGTCGTGATATCCTGTGCTACTCGTTTTTACAGCAAGGCTGACTGAAACTCTCGGAGCAGGCTCGTCGGGGCAGTGTTGATGATGTCCACGTGTTTGTCTTTTGAGAACCGTGCGTTGGCTTATGTTCATCGTTCATGCATTTAACACATCGCTGTTTTTATAGTTTTTTCTCGTCCGTTAGGGGTATTCTACATGTTGTAGGCGTACCGCTACAATGTATGCCCATTATAAACTCTGTTGAAGACACGTGAGAGCTTCAAGTTAGAATAAGTTTCATACTCTGGCCTACGTCGCGACCGCATTGAAGGGCAGCGATACAGCATGCAGTAGGAACATTCCGCCTCCCAGCTTTGAACGCCCCTGACCAACTGTTTGCGCGATTACACCTCACCGGGATCGAGCCTGTCAACAGCTGACTGCGAACACCTGAGAAAACTCGTGTCCTGCCACGGGTAATCTGTTAGGCGGTATGGGAGCGGCGCTGATTGCGGTCTCTGCCGCAGACTGGGCCGACGGTACACGCTCAGCGGCGTGATGCTGGCCGGAGGCATCAGCTGCGTCCTGATCTTTCTGCTGCCTGGCTCCTACATTGACGATCAGGGAGGCAGGCTGACGCTCAGTCTGATAGGTTAGTTACTCCTGCCGTGTGCTGAGAGAAGCATATCTGACATTCAGTCTAATAGGTCGTCCACCCCTGGACTGTTCTGATAGGCAGGTCTCACATTCAGTCTGATCGATCTGTTTCAGCTGTCTTCCCATGACTGTAGGAGGCTAATGGAGTATTCCTCCATACGCGATTAAATGGAATAGTATGTTTCTTTCTGCGCCCATGCGTTCGCTGGGGCATAATGAAATCATCACAGCAAATGCGACTGACCAAATCGGTATCCTGTTCATCCCAGCCGTCCTGGTTTGCAGGGAAGCTGTGCATAGGTACCACGTTCACCGTAATCTACATATTTACGGGCGAGATTTTCTCCACGTCGGTTCGTAACACTGGCTTCGGCATCGTCAACTTCTGCGGGCGGATGGCTGGGATCGCCTATCCCTTCGTAGCGCTGCTGGTGAGTAGTTTCCCTGATATCTGCATCCGAACGATACTACACGCTGGTCGCATCTGCGCACATCTGCTGTGAGTATTTGATGTGGACGGCTACCCCGTCTGCTACGTTAACCGGTCTGAGGACGGCTAATTCATCCTGCGAGACGAATCGTTTGTGAAACCTGTGTGTTTTAAACGTTGATGTCAGTGACTGCACTTATCACATCACTTGTGCAGATCGTATGCACTTTTTAAGTTCATTTAATCCCGACCCGTCATTGTGCAGTTGGTCACATTGGTGAAATGAGTGTCTTTTGCACCTGAGTGGCCTCATCAGCCTCTTACTGGTACTAACCTGCTTGTCACAGAGACCCATCACACAATGGCGCAATTGCTGGTACAGTTTGCACCACGGACACTGAATAGGTCTCATAATTAGTACATAATCGCCCAAGTGAAAACCAAGAAGCTAATACACCTGAGCACTTGCACAGATCACGGTAATATCGAATCACACTCTTTTTAAGATTTATGTTCTGATTGACTTCCAGCGCGATCGTGTCTTCGGCCTCGGTGCTCAACGCATTCCTTGCGCATGATAAGGGCACATTTTACGCGGTCGCGTCATTTTTTGTCGTTACTTTTTCCACCAATCTGACCTTACGTGATGTTAGTTATCGCCCAAAAGTGGGGAAACTTGCTATGAGAGCAATGGCCGATGGTCAACAGGCTGTGGGAATACGATTTTCCGTGCAGCGTTAGTTTGTCTCGGACGCGTCATTAATTGCCACACGTGCTGATCATTCCGTCCCGCTGATTGGTGCGATGATTTCCCTCAAAGGGCTATTGTTTGCACCCGTACAACGCATGCAGTCATCGATACCATGGACGGGCAAAATAATTGTATTTAATTTTCACTGTAAGAATCCTTATCTGGGCTTTCCAGTTCTGCCGATATCAATGGCTTAGTACAATGAAATAAAATACATTCAGAGGTGTATTTTTGGAAAGGCAGATGTGTAGTTGGAATCCATCGTTGTCTCGAAAACTAGCATAGGTTTTACTCTCGTTCAAATCAAATGTGGCTGGAATCGGTGATGATTGGACTCATGGAACAACATACTTAAATTAGCATACAATAACATACACGCTACATAAACATAACATAAATAACATAAATGCAACAAACGATATTATTGCTCTCACAGCCTTCAACTTTGCAGCGAATGGACCACACGACATGCTGTTCTCGTGTGATTTTCAACATACGTGTTTACGGAACCCATAGAACGGTTTATCAAGTCATTTCTTGTTACCACATTCGGCTTCCTTAGGACCGATTCCAGACATGAGTCACACTTCCTGAGTTGGAATCAAAGTCAACGAAGAGCTGTGCTTTCGGGTATAGACCCAGGATCAACCAAATGCGCTGGAAATCTAATTCGGAACGGGTCTAAAGAGAAGTGAGTGGTTCTACAAGGCGTTCACATAAAATACAAAGGATTGTTAAATGTATACGTATTTTGCCCGGCCTCATCCCTTCAGGTACCGTGAATTCCTGCCCGTGCTTTTCCCACTCGTTCGCAGAATACTGTGAGGAAAGATCTTCATTTCTTCGTGTTTGGAGCGCTCATCACATCATCGGCGCTGCTGGACCTGCTGCTGCCGGAGACAATGGGAAAGCCGCTGCCAAAGACAGTTGGGGAAATGGTCGGAGAAGAGGTGGAAATGTATCAAGCCTTGCAGCTTGACGAACTGGAGGACGATTATGACAGCGATAGGAATGCAATGAAACCAAATCAAGACTGAACAAAGAACGTAGGTGTTTTTGCCACAACACATACACCGCCGTTAGGTGTGCTCTTGGCAATTTTGTTACATCGACATGCATCTCGCTATTGCAAGCAATGTACTCGGTTGGCCACGTCCATATTTTTATCATCTGTCGTCTGTGACAAACTCTTAAACACTTCGGTGTTGCAATTTTTTCCTGACTAAATGATTGCGGTGGGTGTGCGGAACAGTGGACAAGGCCCACATGTGATCTGTACTTCTCGTTACCCTAGATGTCTTTAAATGACATCTGGCCCTTGTGTTAAATCCTGAACAAATCATTGATATGCTTTATCGACTGTAAGCCCAGTGCAGTGGAAAATATGAAGCTTGTTAACACGCGCTCAGCCTTTCAGCAACCATAGGCGTCATTTCAGAACTCGCATGAAGTGTCCCCACGTAGAAAAGCGCAACGGAATGCGGGATTGCGATGCGGCGGTTCGTTGGGTCAACATTTGTTGTTTGCTGTTTTCTGTGATAAACTGTCGAGATGTACTGCACCATTGGTACACCATTGGATTCGGTAGTGTCATACGTCGGGAAGGAAAGGAACTGGCTATTGAGCGGTACCAAGTTTTCAGTTACCTGGGCCACATGCAGCCCTCGCACGAACTGGCAAGTTGGACTTCGTCCTTTTCGAAGAGCTTACGCGTCTTTTTGCCACATGTGTGTACCCAGAGCACGGACGAACTCGAGAATGGCATGCATTGGTAGAGAGTCGACAGACAATCACGTGGTGTAGATTGTAATGTAGCATGTGCCGCGTGCGACTTGTGTAAGAGCCAGCAGGATGGATCTGACCGTTACCGATCGTTATTCACATTTGGCGCCATATCTAGGCCGTATCGTTATACCGTGTCCGTATCATTATATACATATATATATATATATATATATATATATATATATATATAACACAAAACACATTACACATAACCGTATCATTATACGGTTTTAAAAGGGGAACGACGTCGATGTGACCCCCCCCCCCCCCGTTTCCCTGCCATTCCTAAGCTACGAAGGATAGGGCGTAGTGGTAAAGAAACGGTGGGTTGGTCTCAACGAGATCACACGATTGGTAATAAGCTTTAAGCTGCTCTCAATAAGTGACCCCACGAGGCGAGGTTAAGGTCAATGCTTCACAAAATCAATTTCAGTTTGATTCAATTTTACCCGAAGATCGAGCTACTTCAGTTTTACATGCCCATGTTTACAAAACGATGCCACAAAACAACATCGAACTTAAAAAGACGCGTCTTTGTAATTTTGAATACCGAAACACGTAGCTTTGTGTGTTTTGAGCATATATTTATGAAGTATAGCTCCGTTAATGTAACGGTATAGGCCTACCGCGCGTAATCGGCGACTTCGTCGGCTGCCGCCCGCTGCCCGCGCACATCTTTCCGCGCACATCTTTTTATCATCAGCGTATTATCAACTGCCTTCCGCCCAGGGCTGGATAAAAACCCCATAGTGCACTCAGATGTGCACCCATAAATGTGGTGGACGCATGTCGTCTTTTGCATGCAATTGGAAACACTTTCATGAGCATTTGCTCTGTCGTTACATAATGAGTCTCCTAGCTGATTTGGGGTAATGCTGACTGTGCAGTGCATTTTTATTTAAGGTGGACATCTCCTTGATAAGGCAAATTCCACAAAGCCGAATACGCTGATAACGAAAAAGCGTTAAGTGCTTGCTGTCCCTAATAAAATACGACGATCATAAGCATCTGTTCCCCTTTTATCGGCTCTCACCGTCATGACCCCCTGATCTGTGGGGTGTTATGGACCTCATCACCACGTACTTTAAGTTTCGAATTAAATTGAGTGAACTGAACGAGCAGTGCGTCCTGAGACGTACTTCAATTACTGCGTTTAATTTTTCTCCGCACATTTGACTTGGCTTGTTTTCGCGAGGGAGCTGTCCAAAATGTGGGGGAAGGGGAGCGGGCCTGAGTTGGGAGGCGGGTCGCCCTCTTCCCTGTTGTTCAGAACCCTATGCCGACGCTCACCCGTCGAGTAGTCGCAGTACGTTACCCCATCCCCGTCCCCTCTCTCACGCCGGTCGGCCGGCTGCGGGTGTACCATGCCGACATCTGCCGGCTGGATCCGGAAACTGTGGGCGCCGTCGACGCCATCTGGGACCGTGCCTCGCACGTGGCAGTACGCCGCGAGGACCGACCGCGGTGAGGCTGGCTCGGAGACGGCAGGCTTCAGCTCCGCCTTGTCAAGTGAAAACGGATGAATTTCCAGGTGATTGCCCCTTTTTGTGACCCGCAAATACGATTCAGGTGTCGTTTGGACATGCGACTCAGTAGAAATGTGAACATGTTGAAAGCCACCATGCTTTTTCCCGCATTGGAGCATTATAGCAACGTTCATCGCAATGATGCAATGTTGTAGTAACCTGGTAGTAATGTATCATAGTATTACATTCAGTCGGCGCCCACACGTGTAGCCTGCTGAACATTGTTTGCATCAAAGGCCTCCGTGTTAGGTTTCGTAGAAGATTGCGCCGCGGGTGCGCCCGTCCCGCCGGCCTGAACGGCGCGCCCTCTCGCCGCGCAGGTACGCGGCGTTCCTGCGCGCCGTGATGGCCCCCGGCTGCCGGTACCTCTTGAGCTCGGTCGAGTACGAGCCGAACCCGTTCTCGGACACGCCGCAGAGCGTGACGCCCGCCGACTTCCGTCCCGAGTTTGGTCAGTCGGCGGCGCGAGGCCTCGTGCGTCGCACCCGTCTCGGCCGCTGATGAGTGGAGTGCCAGTTTTAGTTGCTGTGACCTCGTTCTCTGCACGGTTGTTCAGTAGCTAAGTGATCACGAGCGGTACGTCGAGCCCGCGCGCGGTGCGTGTTGCGGACGTGCAGTGTGTCGTGAGTGGCGTGTCGATATGCTTGTGGTTGGAGGTGGTTAAATCAAGTGCAGTTAAATCAGAGACCGCTGTCCGTTTATCATAACTGTTCGCGAACGCGTATGGAGCTAGCTTTACCTGGGAGGTGCATACTTCCACATTGGCCAGTTCGTTGCAAAACTGTTGTTCACGTCCTTCCCTGGGTCAGGTGATGTTGCTCAAGATGTTTTACATGCTCGTGCGATTATTATCAGGACCAGTCACGGCTATTGTCTTCGCTGCGCCGTCGATCTACCGCCACCTTGTGACAGCCGCACTGTATCACTGCTTATGCATGGACGGAGGATGAGGGGAACAGGGCATGCCTCCCTCTTGAGCCCTTGGTTCCCAGTTCCCCAGGTTCCCTTGAACCCAGGGAAGAGAAAACGTTAGTTTGCGACTAGAAGCACAGGCTTCCGCCTTGTGATAAGAAGCGTTCACCACACTGTCAACCTCTACTCTATTCCTGAGCTTGTTGACCCATCCTCGATATCAGAAAAAAATACATTGCATCGTGATAGTTTATATCACTCTTTTTGTACACTCACATCGTTCATATTGACATGCGCGCAATCTATGTTTATCTCAAGGGGAGTGTTCCACATTTGGATGGTATTTTGAACTGACATAGCTATTTTGAAGACCACTCATCCATCCCTTACATTATTTGCTTCCTTTTTCACGCTCAGCTATTGCGCTTTTCTCAAGTTATTCGAGTCCCAGTCTTATTTCCGCCATAACTAGCACCAATTTCCAAATTGCTGTATAATATAATTCCTGTAGAAATTTCTGTAGTATGTAGCACAGAAGCTGGTTCCCGTTCGAAAGTTGGATTGAACGCACTGCACGTTGATGATCACCTAAAGTCCGTTGATGCCGGAAATCATGCTGACATAGCCAAACACGAATCATTTAATGAAATACTTGAATCGGCTTTAATAACTGCATGGCCAATGAGGTCGCAGTGTTCACGTGACGTTTCTATGGCGTCATGCATGTCTGGGTGACCTTACCATAATCTGCACAAGAAAGCCTGCACAAATTCGTGGATGTCAAGGTCAGAATACAGAGTGCTCAGTCTAAAAAAGGGTTGGGCTGTGAACTGCAATGAATGATCTTCGAAATGGCTATCTCAGTTCAAAGTCCCCATACAAATGTGGAGTAACCCTTTAAAGCATATCACCATAACCGAGTACACGAATGCAAGTAAACGGTATAAGATCTTAGGAAATATGCAAGCACTGAACGAGAAATAGTCAACATACGATGCAGCATATAACGATATTTGGGCTCTACGAACACCCACCGATAGCACGACACCTCTCGGTAAGTCGGAGTACTACAACAAAATTCGCTCTTCCGCTATAGTGGCAGCTTTGCACGGCCGCTTCGGCAGCCACTGTTACGCTATATGAACGGCCCATGCCGAAGTCAAACGACGTGTGGAGAAGGATATTTACTACATGGTGAAATTTTGCTAACCAGAGCAGTCTTTTACACTTAAAAGTGAGTTTTCCGCATTCGGGTGTGTTTTTGAACTGAAATGACCATCTTGAAGAGCTTTTGGAACTGTTTGCCCGCCCCCCGCCCCGCACCCCTCTAAGATCTCAAAAAGTGAGAGAACTTAAGATACCAAATTAAGATGGTTGATTGGCCCGTATCTAAAGTCATTTGTGTCAAGCCTTGAGTTCCTAGGTCATGATCTTTGCATGACGTATGTCAAACAAGGTAAAAATCCAGATGTTGTCAAAAGTACCCCATATCTGCTCATGCAACTGCCTTAAGTCTATGTGCTTGTTGTATGCAAAATGCTACTGACATGAATGCCATACTCATGGCATTAATGGCAGTTACCTTGTTTGACCTTAAGAAGGTCACAGTGACCAAATCCTATGAGCTTGTTTTGTGTCGTACATATGAATAAGCTTCAGTCATGCAGTGCGGGCTGCCAACGCTGGAATGCATAACAACAAACAAGCCCGACCTTCCGTAAGGCAGCGCACAGCTGAAGAGGCGTTAAGTTCAAACGAAGCCCTGTGTTTGGCTCTCAGCTGGTTGTTTTCCAGCTTTCTTTTCCACACCGGAAATTGCATGCCGGTCATGTTGTCTCGTCCTCTTCACCGTATTTATGACTGTGATACTACTCCCGCATTTCTTCGATGCTAAACAGCTTCAGGTTGACCCACAATTCATAGTTGATCGCATCATCACTACTGTAACAAATATGACATAGTAAAGTATTGCTGATTAAGCTATCTACAAAAATAATCCCCACGATCGCTCTCGATCTGCGATCCTATGTTTCGTGCACCGGCGCCATTCACGTTAATCGGCGTCCTAAAAATGGTGATCCCAAGATTTATCGTTGCTCGCGCACCAAGGTGAATATCGTTTCCGGTGGCTGGCTTGCCGCAAACATTGCATCATCAGGATGAATGTTGCTATGATGCTACATTACGTGAAAACGCATAGTGGCTTTTAACATTTTCACATTTCTACTGAGTCGCATGTCCAAACGACACCTGAATCGCATTTGCGGGTCACAAAAAGCGGCAATCAGCTGGAAATTAATCCGTCTTTACTTGACAAGGTCGAGCCGGAAGCCCGCCGTCTCCGATCCAGCCTCACCGCGGTCGGTCCTCGCGGCGTACTGCCACGTGCGAGGCACGGTCCCAGATGGCGTCGACGGCGCCCACAGTTTCCTGATCCAGCCGGCAGATGTCGGCATGGTACACCCGCAGCGGGCCGGCCGGCGTCTGAGAGAGGGGACGGGGAGGGGGTAACGTACTGCTACTTCTCGACAGGTGAGCGTCGGCATAGGGTTCTGAAAAACAGGGAAGAGGGCGGCCCGCCTCCCAACTCAGGCCCCTACCACTTCCCCACTTTTTGGACAGCCCCCCCGCGAAAACAAGGCAAGTCAAATGTGTTGAGAAAAATTAAACACAGTAATTGAAGTATGTCTCGGGACGCGCTGCTGGTTCAGTTCACTCGATTTAATTCGAAAATTAAAGTAATTGGTGATGAGGTCCATGAAAGACCACAGATCAGGAGGCCATGACGGTGACAGCCGTATGACAGCGTAATCGGTTTTGTGGAATTTGCCTTATCAAGGAGTTGTCCACCTTAAATAAAAATGCGCTGCAAAGTCAACATTACCTCAAATCAGCTAGGAGACTCATTATGCAACGACAGAGCAAATGCTCATGAAAGAGTGTTTCCAATTGCATGCAAAGACGACATGCATCCACCACATTTATGGGTGCACATCTGAGTGCACTATGGGGTTTTTATCCAGCCCTGGGCGGAAGGCAGTTGATAATCCAGTTGTAAGCAGTAAGCAGTTGACCATGCACCTGGCAGGGGAAGGTCGATGGGACCCCCTAAGGTTTTTTAAGGATGTCTTTCCGGCAGGTTCTGTAATCGTGCCTGAATTTTTGTTAGCCTCCGGAACTTTTTTGTCCATGTTTTGATATCAAAAGCATGTCTCTAGCTTTTCAGGCTTATGAGGAGCGACGGTTTTTTAGGAACACTGCACGGCAACCCTCGGCGTGCGCGGGCGGCTGGGAAGCCGACGAAGCCGCCGATTCCACACGGTGGGCCTATACTGTTGCATTAGCGGTGCCATGCTTCATAAATGTATGCTCAAAACACACAAAGCTACATGTTTCGGTGTTCAAAATTACAAAGATACCTCTTTTTAAGTTCGTTGTTATTTTGTGGCATCGTTTTGTATACATGGGCATATAAAACTAAAGTAGTTCGATCTTCGGGTAAAATTGAATTAAACTGAAATTGCTTTTGTGAAGCATTGACCTAAATCGTCGCCTCGTGGGGTCATTTGCTGACAGCAGTGTAAAGCTTGTTACCAATCGTGTGATCTCGTTGAGACCAACCCATAGTTTCTTTTTCACTACGCTCTATCCTTCGTAGCTAAGAAACGGCAGGAAAACGAGAGGGGGGGGGGGGGCGTGCTCACATCAAAGTCGCACCTCTTTTGAAACCGTGTATTGAAAGCAACGAGCCGGGCGAGGGTTACGTCGATAGATCAACTGAGAAATGGTCCCTTTTGCACATACCACAACAAAAATGAAACAGACGTTTTCTTGGAAATATTGCCAAAAGATAAAGAAAGATGTGCAAAATGTTGAAAGTGCATGGAGCCCCTACTTCACTATTTCGAGACATGAACTAAAACATATCGTATATTTTTAGAGTAACTACAAGCGTTTCAACACTTGCTTCGCTGCGCTAATGAAAAACGTACAAATTCTAATTATGTATTTTTTGCAGCTAGATTCATGCATTTACCTGGTCTATGGGTCGAAATATTGCGCAAAATGTGAACAACGATCGGTAACGGACAAATCCATCCTGCTGGCTAGTACACACATCGCACGCGGCACATGCGACAATACAATCTACACCACGTGATTGTCTGTCGACTCTCTACCAATGCATGCCATTCTCGAGTACGTCCGTGCTCTGGGTACACACATGTGGCAAAACGACGTGTAAGCTCTTCGAAAAGGACGAAGTCCAACTTGCCAGTTCGTGTGAGGGCTACATGTGGCCCATGTAACTGGAAACGTGGTACCACTCAATAGCCAGTTCCTTTCCGTTCTGACGTATGACACTACCGAATCCAATGGTGTACCAGTGGTGCAGTACAACTCGACAGTTTATCACAGAGAACAGCAAACAACAAATGTTGACCCAACGGACCGCCGCATCGCAATCCTGCATTCCGTTGCGTTTTCCACGTGGGGACACTTCATGCGAGTTCTGAAATGACGCTTTAGCTTGCTGAAACGCTGAGCACGTGTGAACAAGCTTCACAATTCCCACTGCACTGAGCTTACAGCCGATAAAGCATGTCAATGATTTGTTCAGGACTTCACACAAGGGCCAGATGTCATTTAAAGCCGTCTTGGGTAACGAGGAGAATGAATTACATGTGGGCCTTGTCCACTGTTCCGCAAACCCACTGCAATCATTTACAGTCAGGAAGAAAATGCAACACCGAAGTATTTAAAAGTTTGACGCAGACGACAGATCATAACAAATATGGATGTGGCCAACTGAGCACATTGCTTGCAACAGCGAAATGCATGTCGATGTAACAAAATTGCCAAGAGCACAGCTAACGGCAGTATATGTGTTGTGGCAAAAGCACCTACGTTCTTTGTTCAGGCTTGATTTGGTTTCATTGCATGCCTATCGCTGCCATAATCGTCTTCCAGTTCGTCAAGCTGCAAGGCTTGATACATTTCCACCTCTTCTCCGACCATTTCCCCAACTGTCTTTGGCAGCGGCCTTCCCACCGTCTCCGGCAGCAGTAGGTCCAGCAGCGCCGATGATGTGATGAGCACTCCAAACACAAAGAAATGAAGATCTTTCCTCACCATATTCTGCGAATGGGTAGGAAAAGTATGGTAAGAAATTCACGGCACCTTAAGGGATGAGGCCGGGTAAAATACGTTTACATTTTAACAGTCCTTTGTATTCCAAGTGAACTCCGTGTAAAAGAACCACTCACTTCTCTTCAGACCAGTTCCGAATTAATTTTCCAGCGCATTTGGTTGATTCCGGGTCTGTACCGGACAAGTACAGCTCTGAGTTGACTTTGATTCCAACCCAGTAAGTGTGACTCAAGTCTGGAATCGGTCCTAAGGCAGCCGAATCCGGCAACAACTGACGACTTGATGAACCGCTCAAAAGGTTACGTAAACACGTATGTTGGAAATCACACGAGAACACCATGTCGTGTGGTCCATTCGCTGCAAAGTTAAAGGCTGTCAGAACAGTAATATCGTTTGTTGCATTTATGTTTGAGTCCATTCATCACCGATTCCAGCCACATTTGATTTGAACAAGAGCAGAACCTATACTAGTTTTCGAAACAACGATGGATTCCAATGGCATTTTGCCTTTCCAAAAGACACCGCTGGGTGTATATTATTTGATTCGAGTAAGCCATTGATATCGGCAGAACTGGAAAGTCCAGATAATGATTTTTGCCATTAAAATTAAATACAATTTTTTGGCCCGTCCATGGTATCCATGACTATGCGCTATACGGGTGCAAACCATAGCTCTTTAAGGGAAATAATTGTACCAATCAGCGGGACGGAAATGATCACCATGTGTGACAGTTAATGGCGCGTCCGAGACAAACTAACGCCGAACGGAAAGTCATTTTCCCATAGCTTGTTTACCATCGGCCATTGTTCTCAAGGCAAGTTTCCGCACTTCACTGGCGATAAATAGCTTCACGTAAGGTCAGATTGGTGGAAAAAGTAACGGCAAAAAAGACGCGACGGCGTAAAACAAGTCCTTATCATGAGAAAAGAGGGTGTTGAGCACCGAGGCTGAAGACACGATCGCTATGGTTGGACATTACCGTGATCTGTGCAAGTGCTGAGGTTTATTATTTTCCTGGTCTAGACTTGGACGATTATGTGCTAATTATGAGACCTATTTAGTGTCCGTGGTGCAAACTGTACCACCCATTGCGCCATTGTGGGATGGGTCTCTGTGAGAAGCAGATTAGTACCAGTCAGAGGCTGATGAGGCCACTCAGGTGCTAAAGACACTCACTTCACCTATGTGACCAACTACACAATGGCAGGACGGGATCATATGCACTTAAAAAGTGAATGCGATCTCCGCAAGTGATGTGATAATTGCAGTCACTGACATCAGCGATTAAAACACGCAGGTTTCACAAAACATTTGTCTTGCAGGATATATTAGCCGTCCTCAGCCCGATTAACGTAGCAGACGGGTGGCCGTTCACATCAAATACTCACAGCAAATGTGCGCAGATGCGACCAGCGTGTAGTGCCGTTATGATGCAGGTATCAGGGAAACTACTCACCAGCAGCGCTACGAAGGGATAGGCTATCCCAGCCGTCCGCCCGCAGAAGTTGACGATGCCGAAGCCAGTGTTACGAACCGATGTGGGGAAAATCTCGCCCGTGAATATGTAGATTACGGTGAACGTGGTAGCTATGCACAGCTTCCCTGCAAACCAGGACGACTGGGATGAGCAGGATACCGATTTGTTCAGTCGCAGTTGCTGTGATGATTTCATTATGCCCCAGCGAACGCATGGTCGCAGATAAAAACGCACTATTACATTCATTCGCGTATGGTAGGTATACTCCATTAGCCTCCTACAGTTATGGCAAGACAGGTGAAACTGATCGATTAAACTGAATGTGAGACCTGCGTATCAGGACAGACCAGGGGTGGACGACCTATTAGACTGAGTGTCAGACATGCTTTTCTCAGCACATGGCAGGGGTAACTGACCTATCAGACTGAGCGTCAGCCTGCCTCCCTGATCGTCAATGTAGGAGCCAGGCAGCAGCATGATCAGGACGCAGCTGATGCCTCCGGCCAGCATCACGCCGCTGAGCGTGTACCGTCGGCCCAGTCTGCGGCAGAGACCGCAGTCAGCGCCGCTGCCATACCGCCTAACAGATTATCCGTGGCAGGACACGAGTTTTCTCAGGTGTTCGCAGTCAGCTGTTGACAGGCTCGATCCCGGTGAGGTGTAATTGCGCAAACAGTTGGTCAGGGGCGTTCAATGCTGGGAGGCGGAATATTCCTGCTGCATGCTGTATCGCTGCCCTTCAATGCGGTCGCGACGTAGGCCGGAGTATGACACTTATTCTAACTTGAACTTCCCACGTGTCTTCAACAGTGAATAAACTGGCCATACATTGCAGCGGTGCGCCTACAACATGTGGAATGCACCTAAAGGAGGAGAAAAAAAACTTAATTAAAGAACAGCGACGTGTTAAATGCATTGGCGATGAACATAAGCCAACGCACGGTTCTCAAAAGATAAACACGTGGGCACCATGAACACAGTCCCTTCGAGCCTGCCCCGAGAGTTTCAGTCAGCCTTGCTGTAAAAACGAGTAACACAGGATGCCACGACGATAGACAATGGAAACTTCATTGGGCAGCTAGTTTGGCTACCGAGTACGGATGTGTATATACCAGTCGAGGCAATCGGCGGGGGTCCTCGGCCCGCTCTTGCAATGGTGCGTAACGGTGGCGTTCCAGTAAATAGCAGCTATGACTATCGGCAAATTAAAAAAACGATTACTCGATTCATTACATCGATTCTGTAGCACGGCAGCAATGTGCCACGCATCATATGCAAAAGCGAAGAAATGCCACGAAACTTCGTTTAAAAAATCAGGAAGACCACAACAGAACCTGGAAATTGTGCACACTGCTTAGCTCTGCGTGCAGAACGGCTGGAAAAAACCTAGGTCCAAATCCCCTGCGCAAGGGCGAAGCATCGATGCCGCCCAGCACTCACTTATCCAGCAGCCAGGAAATGACGATGATGGGCGGAATATCCACCAGGCCCGAGAGCGCGAACGGGATGAATCGGTTTTGACCCATGGTGACCGCCGCCGCCGTCAGGCCGTAGTAGGTCAGCGTGTGTACCGCCCTGGGTCACAGCAGGAGCACGGGATATTAAAGCACTGGCGGCATTCACAACGTGCGATGCTCCATCAAAGTACATAACTACCGTATAGTTTTCGATAGTATGGTGTAGCAGTACGTGAGTAGCATAACTGAGTACTGTGCGGTAACAGCAGGTCACTGACCGGACCAAGTACAGTGCAGATATTAAGCGACACATCCCTGGCACTTGACCACCGCCCCCACATGATATTGTTCGGCGTTGAAGAAGGTATCTTTTGTTTGGTGTCCAGTTACATGCTGTGAATGCTTTGCTACGATAACGAGAGAGCGAGAGCAGATGGAAAGTTCCATAATTTCTGCACCATTTGGCGACTTGTGACGTCATCATTCATGCTGCACAGATCAACGTAACCATGCATCTGACGGGTGCGTAACTCATTCCATCCCGTGACAAATGGGTGTAAAGCCCACATAGTCATACTTCACTAGCATTTCCACTTGATTATATCTATCTATATATATATATATATATATATATATATATATATATATATATATATATATATAGCTATCGTTGCATCAAATTAAATTGCAAACTACATTGCACCGAACGTCACACTTCCTATTCGCCATCAATCAAAATCCTAGCTGGTTCATGCCTCTGGCATGAACCAGCTAGGATTTTGTCGCCGCCGCCGCCGCCGCCGGCAGCGTCATGGCCACCGTCGTAGCGTACCAGGTGAGGCAGAGTATCACTGTCCAGAGAGCGGAGCGCCAGTGTCGGAACAGCGAGCAGCAGTTGTCGGGAAAGCCAACGGTCTTCTCCCTCGCAGCCACCAGGGTAAAGTTGGCCGGGGGGGTCACTCCGTTAGCACGCGCCACGCCCAGCATGACCTTGTGCGCTTCTTCGGTTCGACCATTGAGCATAAGCCACCGCGGGCTGGCAGGCACAAAGCTGACGGCAGAGGCGGGACCAATCACCAAATGGGGGGTGGCAGCGGGGGTGGGAGCCGATGACGCCAGAGGGAGCTGGCGGGCACCATGCTGGCGGCAGAGGCGGAAACAATCACCAAATGGGAGATGGCGGTGGGAGCGGGAGCCGGTGGCGCCAGAGGGTGCTGGCGGACACGCAGCGGAGGCCGTAACATGGGCCATTGAGGACAGCAGTAGCTGGCCTCTGACTGCAGAACCTAGGTAGTGGTGAGGACAGAGGCCAGTGTTGCGCCTGCTGTCAGTAACGCGCTCATCACGGAATCATGGTAATGTCCCTAACAAATATGGAGGAGCACATGACTTGGTCAAATTGTTTGAACAATAAAACATACAAAAAACCTCGCATATGGGAGGAAACTGTTTTATTCCAAAATGTGCTCTGCCTTAAGAGCAGTGCTCTTCTCCCATTTCTTCTCAATGTTGTCGATATCGCGAGAGAAAACTTCCCTGGCTGTTTCTCCAGTCACCCCTCAGCATCGGCGCACGCGTACCAGCGTGCCTCCTTCATCGGGGATGCGAACTCGAAACCCAGAAAAGGTGGAAATCACTTTGGGCCGAACCCAAACTACAGGCCAGGTGCTGGAGCTTAATAGAGCAGCGGTTCCTAATAGCAATCCGCACAAACCCGGCCTTTTGAACACACACACACCGTCGTGAAGAAGCAGGACACCCTTTGCCAGCACTCATCCCCTATTCTTTTACATGCCTTTCTCAGCTGCATCATTAGGCCATCAAGTTCTACTCTATTCCAGAAGCCTGTTTACCCACCCTCGATGTCAGAAAAAAATACATTTCATCGTAACGGTTGATATTGCTCTTTTTGTAGACTTACATCGTTCATATTGACATGCGCGTAATCTATGTTTGTCTTAAGGGAAATATTCCACATTTGTATGGTATTTTGAACTGAGATAGCTATTTTGAAGATCACTCCTTGATCTCTTATATTATAATTCGTGGATGTCGAGGTCAGAAAACAGAGTGCTCAGTCTAAGAAAGGGTTGGGCTGTAAACTGCAGTGAATGATCTTCGAAATGGCTACCTCACTTCAAAACCCCGTATAAATGTGGAGCAGCCCTTTAAAGCATATCACTACGACCGAGCACGCGAATGCAAGTTAACAGTATAAGATCATAGGAGATATGCAGGAAATGAACGAGAAAGAGCCAAAATACGCGCATATAACGATATTTGGGCTCTGCGAACACCCACCAATTGCACGACACCTGTCGGCAAGTTCAAGTACTACAATAAAAATCCGCTCGTCCGCTACAGTGGCAGCTTTGCACGGCCGCTTCGGCAGCCACTCTTACGCTATACAAACGGTCCATGCCGCAGTCAAATGACGATGTTTGAAGACGGATATTTACTACATTGAGGATTTTGCTATAAAGAGTAGTATTTTACTTTTAAAAGTGAGCTTTCCACATTCGTGTGCCTTTTTGAACTGAAATGACCATCTTGAAGAGGTTTTGGTACTGCTCACGATAACGCCCTTCTCAAGATCTAGCCTTCCCTAGTTTCTGAACTACACGCCCACAAAAATGGCGAAATATTGGGGATAGTTATCAAACGTCACCTTTGCATTCATGACGTCACAATAACGTCATTCAAATCCTGCCATTCCAAAAGTCACGCAGTGATCAAAGTCAAGGAAGAATTCATTGTTGAAGCGTTAAAAAAAATTAATTGTAATTGTCGAGGCGTTCATATCTAGCGCTCGTGAACGCGATTTCTATATACAACGGCCGTCAATTGGCTCTCAATGAACGTTGTGCAATGCATGATGACATAATCAAACAATGACGCATGGAGCAGCATATGTACTAAAAAGAAAATTGAGGTATGTAGAGCAGTCTCCTCCCTAACAAGTATATCAATAATAATAAATGAGCCTGTTTCATCATATCTGATGCTTGTTTAAAACTATTGAAATGTGAAGCATTCCCTTCAAAAGCAGATCAATTGCTACGAGTGAGCATATTTCACCGTATATCATGTTTGCCTCCATATGTCTGTGGGACATCTATATTTGTTTCTCAAGCCCAAAATACGAAAATCAGTATTGCGAGCTTACTTTCCAAATAATTTCATCTTGAACAGGTGTTTTGTAGGGTCACCCGGTTCATTGCTGTAAATCATTGTGGAGTTCCACAGGAGCCACATGATCGCGGGCTCCTCCACCGTACTCCATCCCGACTCACAGCCATATCACGAACACGGAGAGGCCGGCCATGGCGGCTGAGGCGATCACCAGGAGGCGCCACGTGGTGGTGACGTAGGCGCCGAGTGCCAGCACCTGGATACCGATGGAGGAGAAGATGGAGCTAAAGAGGCCAACGCGACTCCGATATTGAGGCCCCACCAGCTCCGAGGACAAGGTGAAGCACGACATGCCGCCCATATGCAGGACGCCGGCCAGAAACCTGTCAAAGGGTCGAACGTGTCAGGGGTCGGCGCCAGGCATCCCCAGAGGTCAGAGAGAGGGGAAGCGAGGAGTTACGCGGGTCAGGGGAGCAGAATACACGCATCTCCATAGGGCCGAGAACCCTGTCGCTGAGGTCCGAGGGGCCATGCGCGGCATCATGTTGGCTCACATGGCTCATTCCCTCCCCTCCCCTCCCCTCCCCTCCCCTCCCATCCCCTCCCCTCGCCTCGCCTCGCCTCGCCTCGCCTCGCCTCGCCTCGCCTCGCCTCGCCTCGCCTCGCCTCGCCTCGCCTCCCCTCCCCTCCCCTCCCTCCCTCCCTCCCCTCCCCTCCCCTGCGTCTGCGTCTGCTTCCCACACCACCACCCGGAAGACCCGAGAGCGGGTCGTCGCACCTCAGCACGGCGAACGTGGCGTAGTTGGGGACGACGACCAAGGCGGCCACCAGCAGGGCCTGCAGGCCGAATGTGAGCAGCACGACCCGGCGCCGGCCGAACATGTCCGCCAGGGGGCTGACCAGGGGAGCGCCAATCGTCATGCCAGCCATGAAGAGCGACTGCAGCAGGTGTACGTCCGTTGTCCGCTCGCAGACCAGTGACCACTGCATCGGTAGAGGGGGGGGGGGAGGTCAGGTGTCACTGACCGATCCAGGAGGGGGAACACCATTGACCACCTCCGGTTGGGGTCAGTTCTCACGGGCTGATCCAAGGGGGAGGGACAGACCAGCGACAACCACCGGTCCGGTCGCGGTTAGCTCCCACTGACTAACCCAAGGGGGATTGAGAGCGGGGAAGCGAACAGGATGCGCTGTAAGGAGAAAAAGCGTGGTCAGATAGCGCTGTAGGAATTACTGCGGTGTAATGCGATTGATGAGTTAAAATAACACCGTGTATTTCTAATGCGGTAAATGTGAAAATGTAAAGGAGCGATTGTTCCTCGGGACGGATACCAAAACACACGAAAGACACCATAGACACTACAGACACCACCAGACACAGATCCCACAGACGCCCTCAGACACAGGCCCCACCATGTTAGGTCAAATACTCCGTTTGGAGAAGTTGGGTCAGGCCAGATATCCCTACCGCAATGGTAAGGATGGTCACGTCAGTGACCTGATGTTCTATGAGATGCCAGTGCCAGGGACACACATCTCAGATAAACTGTCGAGGCAACTTTCAGCGAGAGGTAAGCTCAAAGTCCTGCTGTGTGCCTGGGCCGTTTGCTCATTAACCGGAAAGCTTTTTTGGAAGCCAAACACAAGCGTGCTTGGAACAATTTCCATCATTTGGATGAAACAAATGTTGCAAACAACGATAGTTGTAAGACGACCGATACAAAAGTAGTACCAAAGCTCAACTTTCGAAAGATTCGCTCAGATTTCTTTTTTACTGTATGAATCTGAAGAAGCAACGCCTACGCGAAGCAGTGCTTGTAAGTCTTGATCCCACCACCCTATCTTTAAATTTCAGGGCACCGGCAGAAACTATCGGTCAAACTTAAAGGTACTACAATGCTCGGCAAGGATGACGTCACCAGTGCCGTTGTTCCAGTCCGCGGGCCATCTCAGTCGAGCGCAAACAGAGAGCGTCTACAACAATGCGAACCCACCCCGCGCGGCCATTAGGATCTCAATGTAGACGCCCCAATCAAGTTAGCTACCGGAACAGAAGCAGCTGTGTGCACATAGCGAAACGATATTTACATGCAGGTTCCAGAACAACGCATGCCGTGCTTTTGAGTTTAATTGAACTCTAGTGCATGCCGCCGCCAACAGGCCGCACCTGTGCCTTCATGTCGAAGGTCAGGTGTCCTACGTCACCAGCACTCTGTCACTGACCTCAGTCGCCACGCTGGTGTACTCGGAACGGAACACGATGTCGTCGCAGAATGCTGTTGTGTCGTTGAAGCAGGCGTTCACGAGTATATCTGTCCCATTCGGCCCCTGTCGGTGGCACTCAAAGTTCGGCGTGTAACCTGCGACACGGAGAAGGGAGTTTGCATCACATCAGTTAATCCCCTGGCCCTGCTGCAGTCTGCGGTTTTTCGGACACCTTCGTGTTTATACGGCTATCTGACAGGAGGTCCAGTTTGGAAGCCTGCCACGGACAGTCCGAATAGCCGATGCTGCTGCCAATTGTTTACGCCTGGAGAACCTGCATCACGGCAGCGCCGCTTGCACCGCTCTCTGACGTCATTTTGAGCAAACGTCAAGAACAATGCAGACATCAAACTCGTGTCAAGCGACATCAAAGCATTCAGTCGAATATTCAACAAAAGCAATTATTACCCGAGAGCTACGCCGTCAGCCTAACCTCTTCAACAATTGCATCAATTCTATGTGAGCGGGCTGAGTTCGCGGCCACCGCAAGGCGGCTTGCCGCGCAAACCCGCCCATTGGACCAGCTGGTCTGCTATTCAGACAGCTGCATGCCGCCAATGAATAAGGTAGCATGGCGGCACATGCAGCGCGCGCGCGGCTCCATCACACGGTCATCCGTGTTGAGAAAATTTCGTATGATAGCATGATCCTGCCACGATCTCGAGCTTGTTAGGGTTCAAGCTTGTAACGCTTTCTCCCATCGGCTCCCTCGTCCAGTGCGTTACCAGTCTTAAATGGAATGCTCCACATTTGTATGGGGTTTTGAGCTTAAGCAGCCATCTTGACAGTAGCCATCTTTTCGGTGCAGTTCACGGCTAGCCACACTTCCGCGAAAATGGGAAAAGCATTCGGGAAGAGTATTTTTAGGTAACTGGCATTCATGACGTCATAATGACGCTATTCAAATCCCGTCATTCCATAGGCCATGCGGCGATCAAGGCAGAGAAAAAAACATAATGGCGGAGTCGTTCAATCCCAGCCGCCTGCGATTGACTCCCAATCGACGTTGTGCAGGGCACGATGACGCAATCAAACAACGACGCATCCAGGAGCGTATTTATTAAGCGGAGAAATGGTGTTGTCTTGGGCAGTCTCTTCTGCTTAAAAGGATGTCCATAGTTATAAGTAGGCTTGTTTCATCATACCTGATGCTTGCTTCAATACCTCAACCATGAAACATTTCCGTTAACCAGTTACCTTCTGCCGAAGGGACACTTTGTGCTGCATCCCTTCATATACGAATACTTAAGTGGCCATGCTTCTCACGACCGAGAGCGCAAAAGCGCCAGAGAGGTGGGGTGTTTGCATGACGTTTCTATGACGCCTGGTATGTTTGGGTGGTTTTCCCATAGTGAGCACGTGACAGACTTTTTTTAATTACAAAAATACTTTGGCTGCACAAGTTCATGCATATCAATCTCAGCATAGCATGGTTTAAAGCCTTAGAGTGGCATGGCTGTGATCTGCAGGTGCTGATCATGAAGGGCGCTATTTCAGCCAAAAATCCAATGTAGATATGAAACAGACCCCCTGAATGTGAATTTGATATCGTCTTTTCAACCGGACTCACCAATAAACTCCATCAGCAGGACGACGACTATTCCCGGTAGCGATTGAGCCGTTGTGGCTAGCAAGTGCTTCCACTGCTGCCGCCCGCCGCTGTCCAACACGCGGAGGGCGTCGTCCATGTCCATGGTGCCCAGGCGGTGCTCGGTGCACGAACCTGTGTACGTCGGCGTCACCAGCTGTGCACGAACGTCACCACTGCCACAACGCTCCAACGCCCAATAAAGCACCTGAACGTCTCACCGGCAGCTTTCACCAAGCTCCATCCAAATGCAGAGTAAGCAGGTTCGTGCCTTCCACATTCAAGGTCGCCCCACAGATACATGCGACTCCAGATCACCAGCTGCTGTTCTCTGATCATGAGCTGCGGCCTCTGCCTGAGCGCAATCCTTCCGCGTCGTCGGCGTCCGCTCATGAGCTCCGCCCGACCCGACGACCAGTTGTGCACCGCTACACTCACCGCGTTCAACAGCGGCCACCACCCTCCGCGTCCGACCCCCGGCCGCATACTGTGCAAGCTGCCACGTCGCCGTTCGCCGCTGGCTGAGCCTTCCCCCCCCCCCCCCCCCCGCTCGGCCGGCGGGCAGCGTGACAGGCGCGGCACGGGTCGCTGTAGTCTTTGCCCCGGCGGCGGAAGCCCTCAGGCTTCGGCCGGGCCGGTGCCGCAAGACTCGGTCGGGATATTCCTGAATGCGAGAATGGAGAGCCTCGATTCGTTACAATGACTTGTGTCAGAATTCGGGTCGTGGAGAGGGCTGGAGGATACGCGAATGAATCCAAGCTTCAACCGTGAAGCTCTTCGCCTGGAGCTGGTCGTTCATGTTCGCGGATATACGAGGCATTCGTTGCTTACGACATGGGGCTTATTACGGAAGTTGTCCATTTTACGCATGAATGGTCGCTGAAGACGGATCTTCGCCGCACATCTCTGCCGAGGATGCTTCGCGAGGCCTGTGTCAGGCCCAGTCGCGTGATTACGCTCGCGCCAGAGTCACAGATCACTGACATATCACGCGACACCGGCCACACCCGTCCAACCGCGAGCCGCCGTGTCCATCCGCTCACGAAGCCACACTGCGCACCTCCCTACCCAGCTGCTGGGTATCACCAGCCCACGAGACCGCTTGGAGCCGCTGGGCCGGCCGCACACACGGCTGTCCGTTGCCTTCGCACTGGACGGACGTCCGTGACCTATAACACTGCATTGGCCTGCCCGGAGGGGGGAGGGTCGGCTGCAGTGAAGGCCGGCTTCTGGTGGTGGGCGCGACCACGGCGGACGGCCGATCAACGCGCCGGCGCGTTTATGCACGCCATAACGCCATCTAGTCGCTTGGAGTTTATGGTATGCGTCATCGCGTGGCATACAGAACGTGGACTGGATGAACGTCATTTTGTCTACGGTCAGAGCGATGCGAATTTAAGTATTCACTGAATCGCTGGATATCTCGGATACTTATGGATGGCTTGGTGCGTCCTCGCACTAGACTCCGTGGGGTTTCGCAGTCGACTACGAAATCAACCAACTTTTTGATAAGTTAAGGTGAATTACATTCCTGTAACGTTTGTGGGCAGAATCAAAGCTGCACTTCAACGTTATCGCCTGAAACCAACACGAGTAACATAAATGTCAGTACAAACGATATAGCCAGTCTCGGAATGCCTACTATACGGCAAACGCAGAACACTAAGCATCGTTCATTTATGGCTAAATATGCACACTATGCATCGTTCACTTAATGACCAGATATGCGCCGTGCCGTTACATATGTCACGCCGTTTTCATGTGTGCTCAGGTTCCCTGTGTCGTGTTTTCATGGGTGTAATTTCGCAAAAGAAGAAGATGGGACTTACGGGGAAAATGGTCAAACCTGCCACCGAAATGCACCCAGATGTGTAGTTCTTCCCGCATCTGCCCCCCCCCCCCTCACCCTCCCCACCACCTCATCCCTCGCAGAGTTAGGGTAGCTCCAGCCTCACTCGTAGATGAATAGAAAAATACACCCCTGGGCGCGTGGAGTGCGTGCGCGGAGTACGCTCTGCATGCTGTAGAGAGTTGAAGGAACTCATCAGACTACACCGATCGGTTACATCGATCCATCGGCCGGCCATAGTAATCAGTCGGACGACAGGAATGTCCGGCATACACCTGCTGTGCGAAATCCTGGAGCTCACACCAGGCCACGGATATCACAGAGAAGAGGCATGACGGCTCGCTTCATTCAGTCGCGACCAGGGCCTTTTTAAAGGGAATGTTCCACATTCGAAGATATTAAAGCAAGTACCAGATACATGGGCGTAGGAACAGGGGAGCTAGGGGGGTCATGGCCCCCTCACTTTTCAAAGTGGGGGGGGGGGGTGCAGCAACGTCAACTGGCTTACCCACTTTTCAGATTAATGCTGCGTTTGGCTTACGTTTGCACTACATTAAGCATGCATGCCGATTTAACTAGCCCACCAGACATCTCCTTTAAGATGCGCCATCTTTCTCTTTGTTCACTAGCCCTTGCTTAATGTTACAGCTGCAAGGGCGGCGCCGCACGCCTGGAGACTGCAACGCCAGGCGTCGGGGCTGTTGTTGCTATCACTTGCGAACACGCATGTTCAGCACCATGTTACGCATTTCTCATACCAGTAGTCAGCTCTGACAGGATATTGAGCATTTTAAGATGAACGTGGGTGACCCATGTTAATGCAAATTAAGAACCACATTTCATCTGCAATCTACAGCCAGGGAGCACTGAATATCTCTGAAGAACACAGATAAACACAAAACTGGAGTCTATGTGACAACTATCGGACTACCTACGGCGATCAGGGGTGTTGTTGCGTCAATGAGTTTTCCTGTGCTGATCCGTGGCTAACTGCGCGGGTCAGAAGGCCTCCCGTGTCAGGGGTGGGGACAATGTGATACGGTTTATCCTTGTAATGGCCTCCGGATCGACCAGGAGATCCCGTCCCGTGCCACCAAAATGACAGCCAGAAGATGCTTCACGATGGGACGGAATGGTCCTTCAGCCCTTGACCGGAAACGATAGTCAACGCCCCGGTGTTCTCCTCAAGAGGCCCTTGCCAAGAAGCAAATAAGGGTCTCATTATTGTTGATTAGAGTGGGGCTCTCATTATTGTTGAATAGGGCGGGTCGAAATAAATTAAAACACGAGAAAGGTCATGCCATGTTTGCATGAGAATGTTCATTTTTCCAGAATGTATTATTGAAAGCAATTACCTCAAAAGGCTTGAAAATACCCACCCGCGACTTTAATACCAATGAAGGTCTGGGTTGCAACTTCCGTAAAATCGAAAAGTTTCGGCCACTGCAAGTGCCACCAGACGACGGGCACCGTGTTAATCTGTCTTCTGGACAGATAAATAGCTGCGAAAACACGAAAAATGGAGATTTTGCGCTCACTCTTCCAGTTAAACCAACAGATTACAGCCCCACTTCGGGGTGCTTCAACGGCCAACTCGTTTCTAAACATTTTCTTTCAACTTTCTTTCAACTTTCAAAGAAAAAGACTTTCTTTTCATCAGTCTAAAAATTGTCCACGTGAAATATGCGCTCAGACTGTCTTATAAATTTCAGATCTGATGCCATTGAGCGCCCAAGGGTGCAGCTTCAGAAACGTCGTCATTTTCGTACACCGGTTGGCCACAACTTATTATTAGGTGCGAGGCCGACGCTGCGCGACCTGCAGAGACTGCAACGCATGGGGTCGAGGCTTGTGTTTTTGAAATTTTCGAGTGCGCATGTTTAAAATAGCGTCACATAACTTGTAGTACTGGTTGATTAAAGTGCTTAAAGATAGTCATTTCAGAATTGTCGTCATTTTCATCCACCGGTGGGCCACGACTATATACTAGGTACTAGGCTAACGCTCCACAGGCTACGGAGGCTGCAACGCCTGGTGTCGAGATTTTTATGGATAAAATTTGCGAGCGCACATGTTAAAAAAGCTACATAAATTGTATCACTAATCGATTCTGACTGAATGATGAACATTTTCGGACAAACCTGGCTTGGCCATGAAACACATATTGCTGACCACTCGGTCTACAATCAAATTTTTGTCTTCAAACTTGGATCAAACACATCGATCTACAATCTACCTTCGCGATGTCCTCAATTTCTGTAAAACCCAGATAAAAATTTGACAAAGCTTCTTAATTCTATCGGCTTAGAAAGAGTCAACTAACCCTGTAAATTAAGAGTTTAATAATATATATGATTATGACATCATATTTTAGTGATATTTTTTAGTACTCATGTTTTGATATATTATTTTATTATATACCCATCTTGATATTTATTAAATAATGTGGAATAACTTTATATTTTAATAGAATACAATATTATAATTACAATAATAAATAAGCCGGTGATTTCTTCCATGCAGTCGTTCAACGCCCGATATCTGCAGTTTATTTACTTCAAAATACAGACAGAATTGAGCTCACGGTAGCTCCTGGTTTCTGATCTGGTAACAGGGCAAAAATAACAATAAAACTAAGAAAACCGTGTCACTTGTTATTAAGTAAGCCATATCCGGGATTTTTTGGGGGGGATCACCATAAGATGGACTTTTGTCAACCTTGTGTTCCCCCTTGGCAAGGCTCCGGGTGCGTCCCTGCCTACACATAAAAGCAAATAAAATCCTATGCGTTGCATGATGGGCAGTGAAGTGTCCGCTGGGCCAATTCATACCTAAGGTAGACAGCTTCCCATTTTTCTGCGATGGTGTGGTGTGAGGGAAGATAATTCGGAAAAAGATACTGTTGCAGGTGTCTAACACGTGTTTCATAAGGCATGTAGCAGTAACGCTGGTCCAAAATTATGCAACAAAGCAGCCATACGATCAGTTCGCAGTCAGTCATGCGGCATACATCGGGCCAGGGCAGTGAACACCGACGGCGGACAGGAGCAGGGCCCAGATAGGAACATATGACAGACTGACCTCATTATGTGGCTTGATTTTTAAAAGAAAATCTCCAGTTTATGAATTTGTCACATTGTTTCTAGCAGTTTCAAGCGTCCGAATTTGCTTCTGCGTAAAATTCTGCTACAAGTCGGATCCCTTGAAAAGCAGCCAGCGAAATGAAGGCGCATGAAAAATCTGTCGCTTTGTGAGCCATCAATCCACTTTCAAAATTCTCACCAGCCTATGTCCAGGCCGTATTTTGGCATCTGCACTGTGGCGGCAGGTGCTTCCTTAATGACCCCAAATGCCTACCCGCTCGCGGAATTTCGCCTCCCCAGGAAAGACAATGTTAAAATGGACGAATGATCTAGGGAAGCTGGATAGCCTTATTGCAAAATGACAGATGAGTCGAAAAGGCAAGGTTGTGCTCCAGTGAGAAAAGGCTCTAGATGTACATCTAGCATAGCAGCCATGACATTTGAATAAAGAGCGACAACAACCTCCATCCCCAACCCCTCGCCCGGTCATCGGGCTCACT